TAGAAAACAATTTCCGCCATTCAAGGCCAATTTGAAATGCTAAAATGCGACAACAAAAAAAGAGAGGGGACAAATTTGAAAGAAAATGGCCTACATAATTTACGACGTCACTATATCATTTTTTTTTTAATTAATAAATACGATGAAGGTCGATTTTTACCGAAAGCTAATATTAATATATAATATCAAATTTTTCATTCATGAATAGACTTGCAATTGAACTGAGAAAAAAAGAAAGAAAGAAGAAAACGACATCCTGTAAGAGGAAGACACACGTTAAGAAGAAGAAAGAGAAGAAGTAAAAAGAAGAGGAAGAAGACCAAGGGTAGTAAAAAGAAGACAAGGTTAAATAAATAAGACAAGATAATGAATGATATATAGACGCAGAACAAAAGACCAAGGGTAAATGTTGGAGAGCATGAAGATGGGAGGAAGATGACGAGAGGGAATTCGAAAGAGGGAGGGAGGGAGGGGTTCGTTGGTGGAAGAGCAAGAGAGACACGGAGATAGGCATATGGAGAGAGGGGGAGAGACAGAAAGAAAGAAAAAAAGAGAGAAGGCAGAGAGAGAGGGACAAACAGGCAGAGACAATGAGACAGAGATAGAAAGAGAAAGAGAGAGGGGATAGAGAACCAGAGAGATTATATCGATGCTGTGGTTGATATGCATAGATATATCCTGAATCATGAATAGAGACAGTACATAGAAATATCATGGTCGGCCTAACATTTTGGATTTCACCTCCTGTAAGGACTGATGTTTGTTCAAGTTAAAGTGTAATATGAATACACTGCACGCACGTTAAGTCTTTTGTCAACTCTGTGTGTTGCTACGGCAGGCAGCCAGTGAAAACGATTTGTTTAATCAAATAATGAGAATGCAAGCATTAACTTGAAACAAATAGAAATTTGTTATTCCTGGCTCATTTCAATTCAATTGAATTCAAACCCATTCAAGGTTTATCAAAAAATATCTACGCAGCCGTAAAAGGCTGAATTGCCATACCATTCACAGATAAAAACATGCAAAATTAAAAAATATACATATCAATTACAATGAACATAGATTGGCATGAATTAAAAATCTAAAATCAAATATATACAGAAAACCAAAAAGTTCAAATGTGAGTTTCAGAAAAATGGGTTGTTCAAATTACATCAGGTGTTTAGCGATTATTCAAATCCATTGTAAACATCTAAAGACAAGATGAGAAATTGCAAAAGATTATATTTCAAATTAAAAACTCAACTTTGGAATGATAAAAGATAAGTTTGTTCATTAGAAGTAAATCATCGATTTACAATTTTCACGTGGTAATAAGTTAAAATATGTATTGCACAAAGTGGTTAGGAAAATACAAACAAATAAGAGTTTTAACAGTTTTGTCATATGAAAGGGCAGAAAAGGAACTTTCTAGAAATTTGATTTTCCCTTGGAAATTCAGATACCGCCCGCCAAATAACTTTTTGGTACCCTCCCTTTAAACAAATTGTTTTTAATCGCTCATGCGTGAAGTATACATAATTACTTCAAATGAAAGAGGATCTAATATGTGTCAGTTATTAATTAAAATTGTGATTAAAATATGATTAAACATCGATAATTTTCGGTTTCGTTTCTTCTAGGACGCACTGTTATTTATTGTGCTTTGTCATTGGTTATATTTAATTAAATGTATAAAGTCTCTTGGCTGGCACGTAGATAAAACTAATCTCGAGGTTGGGTGACGTTTACGGATCATTCTTACATCTTACACCGGAGTGTTGGCTCAGTCAGTAGAGCTTCCGCCTCACAACCGGGAGGTCGTGGGTTCGAACCCCGGCCGCGTCATACCAAAAGACGTTAAAAGATGGGAGTTGTTGCTACCTTGTTTGACGTTCAACAATAAGGGATAGAGCAACGTCGATCTGGCGCTGCTCAGTGGCTGCCGGGCTCACGATCAATTGGGCAAAAAAAAAATTCCGTTTCGGTTTAATAAAATTTGGAGTGGACTATTAGGCTATTATTATTATTATTATTATTATTATTGTTATTATTCTGTAATTGGTCGTGTTCGTAAAAGGGCCCTTCCGATTTGGAAAGTAATATCATGTGACATTGAAGCCGTGCCGGGCGAATGAAGACTTATGCGCCATGTGCACGACTTCGTACCTCAGTCTTTTTAGTTTGTGCCGTTTTCGAGTTAGGATGTACTGCTGAATTATCTCGATCGTCGAGGGCCGCCCAGCCTCTGAGAGAATAGTCAGTATAAAATGCCATAAAATGAATAATCTTCGTTTAAACTACTGGAACTTCGGCTAAGTTTGCAGCGACGTTATAAATAATAAATTGGAATTCAACTGTATTTCCGAGCCCGTTTGACGGTTTCGAATTTATTTTGTCTCTGAACCGTTCTTACCACCGATCCATTACACTACATAAAGGTTTGAAATATGCTCTTTATGAATTGATCGTGAAATTCCCTTCGCTAAAGTGTAAATAAAAAATACGCCTCCGGAATGCGTATTTTTGATTTACACGCTAGCGAAGGGAATCTGCACGATTGATTCAAATTAAAACCACTGGCCAAGAGCCTAGACTGTACTTTAGACTTTTATGTGGGTACTCTACTGTAAAAGAACCATGGTCACCACGGGGTTTATTTTTGGTCCAAATTACCATCCACCATGGTAACCAATCCATGGTTTATATCAAGCAATGATAATTTCATCGAATTTCGTTGTTTGATACCATGGTGGATGGTAATTTGGACTAAAAAAAAACACATTGTTACCATGGTTTTTGTTTGTAAGGGATATACTGATAAGTGATGATAATGCCCTAATATATTGTTTTGTCGATGGGTGTTGTGTGTAGATGTGTATGTTCACGCTTGCTGCACTGATTTATGGTCTCATAATTATTATCAACAGCAAGTTGCAAAATATCTTTCTTTAATATTTTCTCGGAACTAACAGCTCGGAATCTAATTTGTGTCGTGTTCAAAATGGTTGAAGTGGTACCAATAATGAATTCATTGTTTCAACCATATCTTTTGCACAGGACTTCCCTCTCCTAGGCCTTCTCCCCTCCCCCTCTCTCTCTCACAGACACTACTCATCCATCTCTCTCTCTCTCTTTCTGTCCTCTTCTCCCTTCCCTTCCCGCATCTCGCTCCGTCTCTACCCCCCCCCCCCTTTTATGTTGTTCTCTCTCTCTCTCTCCCTCCCTTATCTCTTCCTCCCTATCTTTGTCCTTGTCACTTTTCTACACTAACCAAATTCTAAACTCCAACTTTGGAACCAACACTAACACTATAACAAAACCCAACTCCACACCTAACCTGAGGAATTATCTCAGGAGCAAAAGTACTGTAGGACCATCCCTGTATTAGACGTATGTTTCTGTAAGGACCAATGCGGTACAAGTTTCTGTTCGAAGTAAAGTTCTTATGTTTGCTTTATTGCCGATAAAACGAGAAGAAGAGTGCATGGATACGGAATACAAATTACATGTATATTTACTTCTTAGGATATGCACATGTGTCAATGTACGTTGAAATCTTAGAACAAAAGGTAAATAACTGTAGTACATGTACATTTCGAGTAATACTTAATCTCAGAAAAACGAACCGTACAGGAATATATACAATTAGGTATTGCGTATAAATATCCAGACACTCTACAAACGTCTGAAGAATCGTCTCACAAAACGTCCCAATGTGACATAAGGGACTTTTAGATTTGCATGTCGACATAGTTGACTGCTACGGGTGACGTCCTTTTAAGGCACTAATGGACGCCATACGTAGCAGTTCACTATGTCGACGTGCAAATCTAAAAGTCTCTTATGACCGAACGCTCTACTACCTCTTGGATGCCATGTTCCCAGTCTTGTCAAATTTGGATGATCTCCGTTGAGTGTAGCCGCGTGCGTGTTTTGAACACGCGCTAATGAAGTATGGTATAAGCGAACTGTTTGACTGGTTCGATGGTTTAGGTATCCCGAGTGCTAAAAAAAAAGAAAGCATGTGTATGCTTGTAGGCAATAAAGGGAACGACGGCTTTACCAAAGGGCACTAGCTAGTGACTCTACTTGGGTTCGAACCAAGGTCCTCTTAGTTACGTGACGACTCACTGCCTACTGCGATACCACTCGGTCATCTTGCCTCCAGCGTGTGACAAATTGTACATATCTCCCTAAAATGTGTCCTTCGTACTTCGTATCATTTCCTCTCTCACAATATACAACGACATGAGTGAACATCAATGAAAATAAAAAATATACTACACATAAAATAACCAAACTGACATAGGCGATAAAGATTTTTTTCCCCACAGTAAACACAAACCACCCACACCCATATGCAAAACAAGACATGTGTTCACGACGGGAACGTAGTACGTACACGGTTTATCAATATCAAATGTTCATCATTTTTACAGAAAGTGAGGTTATTTGCAAACATTGCACAGTCCACATGACAATATCCTGGTTACATCTTTGAATAAGCAAAATACGTGTTATAGCTTAGCAACGTGTCCATTTGACAGGCAAAAAAATGTATCTACGAGGCAAATCAGGTGAAGAGCAAAAATGAGGTCACCACCAAAACACGAACTCAAATTAAAGGTAAAGACCAGTTATGGTCATGCGATTGCATTGTGAAAGAAACGTTGTGGAATCGATCATAAAAGGTTGATCATCTAGCATATAAGTATTGGTGTGTACTGCAAGGTTCTGGAATCATCAAAATGATAAGAAATATGGCCCAGTCTTCGTAAAGTTACAAGCACTGTACACAGAAAGATGTATATGGGACTATACGCACACGTGCGCGACACGTGCGTTTATCTCTCACAGACAATGTAGATAAACTAATTTACCAAATATATCAATTAGTAGGCGGTTTCCCGGCAATTTTTTTTTATCATGTATTAGTCAAAACATATTCTTTCACATGATTGGTAATAAGAGCTTCCATTACATTTTTTGAAATTGGGGCGTTTCCAATGCTGGTCTTTACCTTTAACAGGCCTATAATATCGCCTCTAGTGCTCTGCTATCGACTATCAACACGGATTTCAATTTATATTATTTCTTATACATGTTTGATACATTGACTGAACCAAAATCATTAGTAAAACTTAAACAATTAAGCAAAGAAGCACATATACATAGAACCTTTAAAAAACTCGAAAATTGTAAAAGTCCAAAGTAGTCACCAAGAAATTTATGTACTGAAATATGAATAGCGTACAAGATAATTCGGCAAAAAACATTATCAAATGCAAATTTAAAAACATAATCAATGAAAATATCGAATGAATTCTAAGCCATGCCCGTCTAAAGTCATGACGAATATCCATCACCCTTAATTTTTAACAGAAACTGCCCGCAATCACTGGGCTACCTAACATATGAAACCAAATGTAATGCATGCGTATTTGTGAAGTGCCTCGATACAAACATTTCATTCATCTTTTACGAGTACATATTAGTGTATTTCAAAAGTAGGACAAACATTATCTTAACATACAATTTATGCATTTTGCATTCTGACCATTGAAATTCAATTATTCATTACGGGTGAATGAAATATTTGTCTTGAGGCAATTTACAAAGACGTACATGTGTATTTTAAATTTGGTTGCATTTCAAAAATGGTCCATTGCATGATAAAATCTTCGCAAATACACTTACCAATTTCATTTAATATATAGTCACGAAACACAAACATCGAACAAGTTTCATTTGATTTAGTCCCTTTTACTTATTATAACGTTTATTACCCGTATGGACAGCGAACAAGTCTGTGGAGTACGTATTATTGGTCTGGATTCTTTCTCTATTTCAGAATCCTTTGGGTTTTTTTGTTTTCTTCTTTCATAATCAGGTCAATTCGAATAAAAGGTAAATTTCATTGGACATTCCACACGTGATTAGAGACATGAACTAATACAAGTATCATTTTGAGGACGTCAGAAAGACGTGCACAGTCAAACATGTCTTTGTGAACACCTCAATGAATAAATGTGTTGTTGAATCTGCCTAGAAAGGTAACTTGCCTACAATGGTTACTTTATCTATCCCCCTTGGCTGATCTTAATATGGACAGGTTAAACTGTAAAAATAGAAAAAAATACTTATAGCAATGAAACATTTACTAATTAAAGTTAGTAGAATTAACATTATTTACAGACATATCAATAGAAACCTAAAGCATAAGATCCATGCGTATGAAATAATGGTAAACACGTGCTACTTCAAATCTACAGGGTACGATGAGTGCGAGGCGTCATTTGCATGACGGAAACCAGCGGGGCTACGACTCATTGTCAGTACTCATTGTCGTACTAAAAAAAAAGGAAACGTAAAATGGGCAGTGCGAACAATGCTTTGAAAGCAATGGCGTATGCACGATTGTCTGCACAGACTTGCTTAGAGCAGGGGATTACGTAATCTAAATAACGCCTCGTGCTCACCAGGCATGTCACGACACTTGGCCAACCAAATGCATCTTGACGGCACTTTAGCAGCAATAATGAACAGCGGAATGTATTTTAGAAATAAATAAATGAATAGAGAACGTTCGGAAACTGCGCAGGTGCAGCTGGTTATATGCACAATGCCTGGAGTTTCTAGTATTGTGTGTAGTAAACACATCATCTGCTGGCCACGCGCAGGTGCGCACGAACATTGCTGCGAAATGCTTAAAATTTTGGCAACCTGATTGCGGAAGCCCTAAATGTGTATTTGAATGGACGAACAATATAAAATAGCACAATGAGTTTTGGTCTATTATCAAAAATATCCTTCCATTTTCATGAACATACATGACACAATAGCATCGTAAGAATTCCATTTGTATTTACATCCTAATATGAAAACCACCCATTCAGCAACAGCCCAGCAATTAATGTCTGTTTAAAAAAATATTGATTAGCGGTGGGTGCTAATCTTCAAAATTGTATACATATGGAACCCTTTCAAATGTGGAGAAAAAAGTCCAGTTAGTCAAGCTCAAAAAACTTCTGATTTTCTCAAAATATACATATTTTGGTCAAACAGTTATCAGAAATACACATATATCTCAGAATTTACAACATTTAATTTCACTTAAAGAGAAGGTTGAGTTCTGGGGAGAGGTGAGAGCGTTGTCATTGTTATTATGCAAGTGTGAAAGAATTCCAGAGAAAAAACACCCATGAAAAACATGACTCTTCATATTCTAGTACAGTGTCAATAGCGAAAAGCGTTACCGATTTAACTAGGAAGTGTAGGTCAAAATGAAGATGGGGGAATCGTTACCATATTAAAATATCGTACACACACACACAGAATATATAGTTGCAGTTAAGGCACAAGTGATAAAAAAAAATGCAACAAAAATTAATAAAACAAGGTTGAAAATCTGTCACGAGGATCAATTGACGAAGTGGATAACCATGTCATCGACCATCCCTAATATTCTCAAATAAAAGAGCAGAAAATTGGAAACCAATGTATGAAACTTCAATCTAGTTTACATAGATGACAGATGAGACCGCTCATGGTTGGGTACAAGTTCTAAAGAAGTAAATACCTGAATTTCAATCTAGTTTTACATACATGTAGATGACAGATGAGACCGCTCATGGTTGTGTACCAATTCTAAAGAAGTGAACACCTTAATTTCAATCTAGTTTTACATAGATGACAGATGAGACCGCTCATGGTTGTGTACCAATTCTAAAGAAGTGAACACCTTAATTTCAATCTAGTTTTACATAGATGACAGATGAGACCGCTCATGGTTGTGTACCAATTCTAAAGAAGTAAACACCTGAATTTCAATCTAGTTTTACATACATGTAGATGACAGATGAGACCGCTCATGGTTGTGTACCAATTCTAAAGAAGTGAACACCTGAATTTCAATCTAATTTTACATAGATGACAGATGAGACCGCTCATGGTTGTGTACCAGTTCTAAAGAAGTGAACACCTGAATTTCAATCTAGTTTTACATAGATGACAGATGAGACCGCTCATGGTTGTGTACCAGTTCTAAAGAAGTGAACACCTGAATTTCAATCTAGTTTTACATAGATGACAGATGAGACCGCTCATGGTTGTGTACCAATTCTAAAGAAGTGAACACCTTATCACAGAATCTACAGGTTAGAAAACGATCCGGAATCACTGTCGTTTTCTTTGAAGGCATCACACTAGCACTACTGGTAGTCGCATCATCTTTAAACTCATTGAGTGTGTGCTGCTCTTTGTGTGTTTCAAGGTCTGCGTTAGATGGAAACGACTTCATACAAAGCTCACATTTGTGGACAACCTCAGGGTTCTTGGGTTTTGGTACATTGGAAGCAACTGGAGAAGGAGATGAAGCACGTTTTTTTTGCGCACAGGCATGTTCCTCCAAACTCTTATGTGTTGTGTAAAATCGGTTGCAGTAATTGCACATGAAGACATGGGTGTCCTGGTGTCTATTTAGTTCTGGCCTGCTTGCAAAGATTTTTTCACATTCTGGACACTTCCATGCCATTTTTGAGGAACTTCCTTTCGCTGGAGAAGACGCTGGTTTTCCTACTCCCTTGCCATCTGGTAATAATCCATTGGATTTTTCAGAAACTGTTCTCGCTGGCTGCACCACTACCTCTTCTTGTTCCATTTGTGAGGAACTTGCTATTTCTGAAGAAAAGGCTGCTGTTTTTCCTACTTCCTTGCCATCTGGTAGTAATCCATTGGATTTTTCAGAAACAACAGTTCTCGCCGACTGAGAAAACACCACTGCCTCTTCTTGTTCCATTTGTGAGGAACCTCCTTTCTCTGACGAAGAGGCTGCCATTCGTACTTCCTTGCCATCTGGTAATAATCCATTGGATTCCCCAGAAACAACTGCTCTCGTTTGCTGAGAAGACACTTCTGCCTCTTGACTCTCACTTTGCGGATGTTTTGAGCGAATGTGGTTCTGAAGATGATTTTTCCTTGTATAGGACATTGTACATTTGCTGCACATGAACCTTTTGGAACCTGAAGACCCCTCTTGTTTGGTAGTGTCCATTTTTGGAGTGTCCTTGATGATTTGATTTTGGTTTATGTGTTCACCCTTCTTCATATGCTGGAGTAGATATTCCTTTCTGGAAAAAGTCCTTGGGCATTTGGGACATCGTAAGTATGTATGCGCCGACTCCTTGATCGGGTGCTTGCCACGTTTCATGTGCAAAGACAGGTCACTTTGCTTACTGAATACTCTCGGACACTTCCCACATTGGTAGAATGTATCTTTGGGTCCCCTTACTTGAGTGTTTCCAAATGTATTTCTGCTCTGATTCTTGACACTAATGTGCTTCCCGAGCTTGATGTGCATGGTCAAGCCAAAGGCAGTAGGGAAAGCCTTTGGGCATTGAGGACATTGGTGATTGGTGAGACCTACAGTAGGCGTTTCTTTACAGATACTCTTGCTTTGATAGACCCTGAGGTGGGCATCTCTTGAGTGACACTTCTTCATGTGCCGAGTCAATGTATATTTCCTTGAAAATGACTTAAAGCATATGAGACACTCGACTGACGAGCCCTTTCCGTTAGACTTTTGGCTAAGCAACTCGGGATGCCTGCATTTGATGTGTGCTGTCAAGTAACGTTTGCAGGAAAAGGATTTTAGACAGATCTGACACTGATGCACTGGATGTTTTACTTTTATGTGCCTCAACAAACTTGATCTATTGCTATATGAATTAGTACATAAAGAACACTTGTGGGCAAGCGATTCGGACAGGTTTGACGACCCTGATTCTATTCTAACCTCTTTTGTTTTTACGTGCTTACTACGATCCATGTGCACTTTAAGATCACACTTCCTTGCAAATTCTTTAGGACATTTTGTACAGACGAAGGTAGACTCTGTAGATATAACTGGAGCTTCTATAGGCTCATATTTAACTTGGCGTTTCTGATTTTGGTTCATGTCTTCACCCTTTTCATGCTTTCCGCTACTCATGTGCTTGCTGAAGTCTGAACTTCTACAAAATGTTTTGGGACATTTCGTGCAATGGAACTTTGTTCCTTGTAACTTCCTCACCATTTCTGGATGAATTTTTGATCTGTGCCTTTGAAGGTGACGTCTAGTGCCATATACTTTTGGACATAAACTACACTTGAAATTCTTTGGAAGCCCTCCCAACTCTGAACCAACCACGTCAGTTTTTTCTTGCTGGAGGACCTTTCCATGCTTTCCATGCTTTAGGTGCATAGAAATGTTACTCTTTCCCTTTGCTTTTGTGATGTTGCTTCTAATCCCTGGATGCGACCTCCTCATATGATCTGTGAGATATCTCTTTTGTTTGAAGATCGTTGAACATATACTGCACTGGGTTACACTGATGCCACCATGCTTTCCTAGTGCCATGTGCACAGAAAAGCGATATTGGCTTGAGAATGTCTTGGAACAAATGTTGCATCTTAAGTCTGAACTTTGACCTACTCGTTTGTATCTCTGGGAGATGGCTGGGTGCTTTCCTCGCGTCATGTGCATTGCGAGGTCAGACTTTCTACGAAACCTTTTCGGACACTTTCTACATTGAAATACCATACTCTTAGACTTCTCAAGCACTTCAACTTTGGTTCCATTGTTCTTTTCTTGATGTTTTCGTTTCATGTGGTCAGTAAGATATCGCTTCTGGGCAAAGATCTTTGAACAGAACTTGCATCGGAATTCTGTGGTTGGCGGTTCTCTCACCTTGTTATCTCGCACTGAACCATCATTTCCTATCTCAAACTTTCTGATTGCCCCTTTGCCTTTCTGGAGGGTGGCTTGGTGCTTTCCTCGCTTCATATGCATTGTGAGGTCAGACTTTCTACGAAATGTTTTGGGACATTTCCTGCAATGGAACTTTGTTCCTTGAGACTTCTTCAGCATATCAGTCATTCTGCTGCCTGGATGTTTTAATGTGATGTGCCTTTGAAAGTAAAGTTTACTGTTATATACCTTTGGACATTCACTACACTTGAAATTCTTTGGAAGCCCTCCTAACTCTAAACCTACCACGGCATCTTTTCCTTGTTGGTTGACCTCTCCTTGCTTTCCATCTTTTAGGTGCATCGAAATGTTACTCTTTCCCTTCGACTGGATTTCTGAACCATCCAACTTCTTTGTTCCTTTTGCTTTTATGTTGATTCTAAGTTCTGGATGATACAGCCTTATGTGATCTGCGAGATATCTCTTTTGTTTAAAGATCTTGGAACATATACTGCACTGTCTTACACTGATGCTATCATCATGCTTTTCAAGGGTCCTGTGCACAGAAAGGCGATATTGGCTTGAGAATGTCTTAGAGCAAATCTTGCAGCTCAAGTCTGAACTTGAAGAAGGCGAGTTCAGTGTTTCTTTCCTACTGGAAATCTTTGGAAGTCCTCCTGTCTCAGAATCTTTGATTACTCGTTTCCCTTTCTTGGAGATGGCTGGGTGCTTTCCACGCTTCATGTGCATTGTGAGGTCTGACTTTCTATGAAATCTTTTCGGACACCTTCTACATTGAAATACCACACTTTTAGACTTCTCAAGCACTTCAACTTTGGTTTCATTGTTCTTCTCTTGATGTTGTCGTTTTGTGTGGTCAGTAAGATATCGCTTCTGGGCAAAGATCTTTGAACAGATCTTGCATTCGAATTCTGAAGTGGCCGGCTCTCTCATCTTGCTATCTTGCACTGAACGATCATTTCCTTGTGTCCCCGAATTTCTATCCATGATCGGTTTGGACTGTATTGAGATTGTCTTTGGACGAATAATACCTTTAAATGTTGCACTTAAAGATGGTGGTGACTTAGCATGTCCAGTACTAGTTGATTGCTGTTGACGGCTTGGTGTTTCCACTTTTAAGCCACTGCTGGTCTGCAGACGAGGTCGATTATGCTTCCCATGATTCATGTGCTTTGTCAGGTCGCTTTTCCTGGCATATGATTTCCCACATATCCTGCACTTAAGCCGAAGAGAACGTTTCATCGCAATATCTTCTTTCAGCGGGGATTCACAGGAGCTTGGTTGCACAGGGGATTGGGGTTCGTTGGTGTCCTTCAGGACAGTCTCAGTTGAGCTTATGCCACTCTTGCCAGCTCCATCTCTTTCACTAGGCCTGTGTACTCTCGCCACATGAACCTGTAGGTAATATCGTTTTTTAAACTCTCGCTCACATTGAGGGCACGGGTAGATCAGGTTATGACTGTTCACATGTCTCTTAAATAGTCTTAAATTTGTGAAGCTACTATCACACAGATGACATGGATATATGTGCTTTAAAAGATGATTTTGCAGAGCTCCTAAAGAAGGGTAGGTTGTTCTACAGTCTTTGCATTCAAATCCATCGCCATATGTTGAAGTTTCCAGACCTACATGAGCTTCTGATCGAGTAGTACCATTCGTCATGGTCCCATTATTACCTTGATGATTAAGCTTGTGCTTTGCAAAGTCGTCCTTGTTGCTGAATGCTTTTGGGCAATCGGAGCAATGAAAATACAGATCCCTTCCCAACTTTGGTGCAACAGCATTTTTCACCGGAACAGCCATATCATCCTGTTCCCTGGAACCATCATCTTCAGCACAATTCTGTGTCCCATTGTCTTCTCCATTTTCCTGTATAGGGGTCTCCTTGGCACTCCTGGGACTAACGCTGCCTCTTGGCCCTTTATTGGCCCTTAGGTTTCTGCTGACCTGGCTTCCTCTTCTGCAGTGTTTCTGTTTATGAACCTTAAGATTACTCAAGCGATTGAAACTCTTCCCGCAACCATTGCAACTAAGCTTTGGATCCTGGTGGCCATTTTCGTGGTTCAACAATGCAATATGGTTGGTGAAAGTCTTCGGACACAGAGAGCAGGCATACATATGATCTCCATAGTGATCCTCTAGAGCGGCCTTGCTCTCAAAGATGATATCGCATTCTTTGCAGCAGTGCTCTTGACCCTTCTTATGGACATCTTCGTGCTGCAACAACTCAGAGTCCGATGAAAATTGCTTGCCGCAAAAGTGACAAATAAATGTGTGTTTTTGCATGTGACGGGCGAGGTGGTTCTCTTCGGTGAACGCCATACTACAGACATCACAGAAAAATATTGGCTTAGCTAGAGTGTCCAATAATGAACCTTTCCTGGTGTCTTGCGCACTACCTGAAGATGATCCCGCTTCCTCCTCAGAATGTGACTGCATGGCGTTTTCATATGTAGCAGGGGACCGCCCAATACCTTCATCCGATGATCTCTCATCTGGCTCATCATCTTCACGTTCAGGGGCTTGCAGGTTATGGCTACTTGTGGCACCTCCTGATGTGGCCAACCAGAGAGTCTCTGGAGTAGGTTTGATGCTTGGTCTAGCCACTGTGTTGTCTGAATGGAAGGTGTTGTCCTCTTTTTTAACACGGATGGGGATCAAGGAAAACGACAAACCTCCTGTATCACCGGTTTCACCTCCTTCTCCTTCAAACAGCGGCTCCTGCTTCAGAGGTCGATCCATCTTGTTAGTCCAAATTCCTGGAGATAATAGTAAATAGATAATAGAAAAGAATTTGGCTCATATTCAATTTGTCATTCCATCTTAAAGATAAACTTGAGTTATGGTAAAAAAAGAAAATGAATTCTCACAGAATCAAACGAAACTTACGCAAGAGTGTTCAAGATTACAAAAAATTTCATTTGCCAAACACTTTTGGTAGAAAATGTATACTGGCTGAGTAATGAGCATAGAAATCAAGGTAAGTAGGCCGGACACCATTTGTGTACATCTTTCTGTGTACAGTGCTTGTTACTCTACCAAGACTGGGCCAAATTTAATATGATTTTGATGACTCCAGAACTAAGCCCGTTTCAAGTAGACGTTTAATCGACTACCCGCCGGTAAAGCCAGTAGTCGAATAATGAACTTGATAACCGAATATTCGATGACTCATTGGGAACCCAAGAACATCGCCTAAAAAGAGTCTAAATGGATGTGAAATAGAAATCTGTCCTGATCCATTCCACATCTTTTCTTTCAAAATGAAACCACATGACCAGGACTCAATTTATCTTTAACCTGTATTGAATTTAAAGGAAACCTCAGTCCAAAGAATAAGTGTAGGTATTCTGAAAATGAGATGTATTCCTGCCCTTTGATGTAAATATTCCTTACAAAAATGTACAAGAGATAAATACTGCTTGTAAGTGTCGGCTTGCATGGTGATGTAGATATACAGTAGGCTTACGGGTGCACTATGTGAGAGAGAGAGGGAGGATTGAGGAGTCCTGAAAGGGACCCTCAGTAATCTTTCTTGAGGGTTTGTAGTCCTGAAAAGGACTGTTGGTATAGTCTTGAAAAAGACTGTTGGTTATCTTTCTTAGCTTATAGTTCTAAGGAGAACTATAGCGCTTGGAGAGGATGAATGGCAGGAGTGGCTTGACGTTTCGAACAGGTTGACTATCCATCGTCAGGATTGGAGAATAGCTGGTGTGCATCAGCGTAAGTCACCGGGGTGTGGACGTCTGGGAAAAAATACATGACCGTGCCGGCTTGAGTCATCAGGGAGTCGACATTCATCAGTACTACAATCAGTCCCCAACGCCCTCATCCCCCGAGCTCATCAACTCAGCGATGCCGACTATCTAGACCAGGAAATCCAGCATGTCCTAACTACACAGCCCTAACTACCATCAACAAATACCCAAGACATAAGATCAAATCCAAGATTCCCACCAGCAAGCCCGCAGCCAACACCGTCCCTGAAGAGAACCAACCTGCAGCTACACCACTGAAACAAACTGTTGTTCTTCCCTATATCGGTCAAGCCTCTCACAAGATTCAGCGTATCCTTCAAGCAGCAGACATCCAAGTTCGACACAGTTCCTCCAACAAACTCCATTCGAAACTCAACTCCCACAAAGACAAGCATCCAAACCACAAGTAAGCTTGAGTCTACAAAATACCATGCAAATGTGGAAAAGTCTATTTTGGTGAAACGGGGAGAAATCTGGAAACAAGACTCAAGGAACACAGAACCAGCTTAAGACTCAGCGATTGGGATAAGTCCTCCTTCGTCAAACACGCCCAGCAACACGAACACACGATCGAATGGGATAACAGTCATCTCATCTCCATAATGAAGCACTGGCATACACGCCGAATCCGAGAAGCCATCGAAATTCACCGCCACAACACCATGCCCCAAGACTCAGGATTATACATCAACGACATCTGGAAACCCCTCATCAACAAGTACCCGGTCACTCCTCCTCCACCACCACCTCCACCACCACCTTCACCACCCCCGCAGACACCCTACATCAACCACCACCATCCGCCGAACCCTCAAAGCAGCCGCCAGCCTCACAGCTACAATGCACAGCAGACGACAGCAGACTACAATGCCGCCTACGTCGGGGACACACAAAGCATCTCGTCGACAGCACACACAACTCATGGATTTGAAACTCCCCGACGTCCGCAACCCGGAGACTCCAGCCCAGACGGACAGCCAGACGGACCAGCAGACCATCCATGTCCACTCCCCGATGACTCAAGCCCGCACGGTCATGTATTTTTTCCCCCGACGTCCGCACCCCGATGACTTAAGCTCACGCACGCCAGCTATTTTCCACTCCTGACGACGGATAGTCAACCTGTTTCGAAATGTCGAGCCACTCCCGCCACTCATCCTCTCCAAGCGCTATAGTTCTCCTAAGAACTATAAGCTAAGAAAGATAACCAACAGTCTTTTCCAAGACTATACCAACAGTCCTTTTCAGGACTACAAACCCTCAAGATAGATTACCGAGAGTCCTTTTCAGGACTCCTCAATCCTCCCTCTCTCACATGGTGCACCCGCAAGCCCTCTGTATAAGAGATATATAATTGAAGATATTCTTGGCATGATGTGATGCCATTTAGCACGACATGGGCATAGCCATTTTCTTGAAAATGTGACGTGCCAGTTGAAGTCATACCTGTATCTACAGCATACTTTAGTTGGAAAGATGTTTGAAAGATCATAGCTGAGAAGATTAAAATCATATTTGGAGAAAAAGATATACATGTCTGTAACAGGGGAACAATTGTAACCTATCCATTTAAAAAATACTAAAATATAGTTTTCATACATATATTTCATCTATGAGAAACCAGAAGAGCACCAACTTATTTATGCAATTTGCATTCTGGCAATTGTAGTACAAAGGATAATAGCGAGTGAATGAAATGCTTCATCACCACAAACACTTGTGAAGGAAATATCCATATTAAATTTGAATACTGGTCCATTTACTCAATAAACGACTTCACATAGTACATTTTGTATGTCACATGTACTGTACGCTTTAATAGGCGTTTTTCTTGTTGAGAAGAACTGACTTCGGTTCCCAGTCTCAGTGCTTGTAAGTGATTCTAGCTGACTTTCTTTTGTACTTCCTCGATCTTCCAGTGATTATTCAATTTAGGTCAATCATGCACATAAAAAAGGGAATTGCTTTGTGTACCTTTTTATCTTTGGTTCTTTCTTCAGCTTTCTGGGTATTTTTATTATTAGTTATTTATTTATTACACTTTCCTTTTCTTAATTTTTTTAAAATTCTAATTTAAGTGAGTCCATCATTTTCATATCGACATTGATGGTTTTGTTTCATTCATTTTTTTAAATAATCAAGCACCCTTCGTTCCCTTCTCTCCCTTCCCTTTTGATCTCTCTCTCTCTCTGCTTCTCACTCCTTGGTTCTCGTGCTGAAGTAGGTAGATACCCTTGTTACTCTTGGGACTCTCCTGGAGCATACCACTGCTGTATGCGCTATTACCAGCGATTTACACACAAAACACAAACACTTTGCATGATTTACAAACCGAAGTACATTCATATTTTGCTTGCTGCATATATCCGTTCACACACAAAATGTTTTGCTCTCTTGATATGAATCGTGACTTTGTATCTGATCGAACATTGTATAAACCACCTTCACACAGGGAAAATGTTCTGTAAAGCTTTTTAGTTAAACAGCTTTAAGCTAATCAGCTCTAGAAACAATGAATTTTACCCGTGTGAAAAGGCCGCAAGAAGCATAGATGAAACATCTTTTTTCTCTGTATCTCATCTCCTCCTTCTTCATTTTGTAGAACTTGTTAATCAGCCTTTCCACACATGGGTAAAATTCATTGTATCTAGAGCTAATTACATGTAGTTTATAAAGCTGTATACCGTAACTAAACAGCTTTCAATAAATTTTCCTTTTGTTAACGTCGTTTATACGATGTTCGGACAGATACGAAGTCGCGATCTACACGCCGTTCAGAGCAGGCTGCAGACACAAAGTCTGTATCTAGAGAGCAAGAAATTTTGTGTGTGAATGGATATACATCCTTAACTGGGCAGAGCTAAGACCGGGCACTGCTCTTTAAACGCTCAGTAGGGCCACTACGCATTTACATGTATCAGCAGTGAGTCATTGCTCGTCACTGCTCGTAAATTATGTGCAATGGCCCCACTGAGCGTTTAAAGAGCAGTGAATCTCGAACGACTGCACCAAAATTGTCTGTGTGTGAATAATGTTGTATCTAAAGCTGATTAGTTTAAAGCTCTTTAAACTAATCAGCTGTAAAGAAATTTACCCCTGTGTGAAAAGGCTAAAAAATACATTCAGTTTCTCTCATACGTTGTGTAGAAATTAAGTCCTTTGTGCTGATGTTGTCGAGTTGAAACATGTTCTTTATTTGTATTTATTCTTTTGTTTGCATTTGTTATATAAACAGCGCTCCACCAAAGACCAGTTTGACTGAATTGCCCTGCTTTCAAAGATGTGAAATAAATCAATCATGGGTAGGGAATTGTGGAGTGGGGGGGGGGGACACAGAATGGCAATGTCTTTCAGAGCATGGTGACCACTGGACAGTAAGGCTGCGACGAGTACTCAAGTATTCGCACTGTTGACAACTACTAGAGTACGATTCCTCATACTCGAATACTCGGTCGCCATTTTTTTGTCACCCGTACACCTAGCACTGTCCAGGCCGACGCTTACCCGTGCCCAGCGCCTGGGAGAGCACCGTCATGGTACCGTGGGTAAAAATGTTTTCCAGCTCAATCTCTGTCAACTCACCACTCAGAAACTGGGACCAAATGTCCGGATTGCTGTTTGGACTCGGAGGAAAATGGATTAGTCTGTCATCTTTGGTTTTTAAAACAGCATTGTTTACTATTACTATTATTATTATTAAATCGGCGCCTCCAACTGCAATTCGAAGTAAAATCGCATGAGTTTCCTGAAGCGGACCTGGGATACTGCTGCCATAGCCATAGTATGGTTGTGGCAAAAAAAAAAAATTTAATTTAGAAAAAACATGGCATCCGAGCATTCGAGTATTCGCCTGTAAGCCTGGGAGTGTACTCGAGTACCTCATTACACAGTTATGCACAGCCTTACTGTACTAAAAAGAAGGGAGACAACATATAATAAACATGCTCCTGAACTAGGTATTAGTAGGGGTGTTGTAGTCCAGTGGTTTAAGCACTTGACTTGAAATGCAAAGGTTGTGGGTTCAATCCCTGTCACCGCACTAATGTCCTTTGGTAAGCTACATTTGCCACTCCATACCCAGGAGAGGATGGAAGAGCTGGCACAATGACGAAAGCCTCCTCTTTCGGCACATGGCTACAAGTGAAAAAGCCCAGAGCTCAGTCTTATAAAGAGTTGCCATTGATCCAAAGCAATCGCAAGTCCTCTGATCTATCGTAAGATTTCAGTTTCCTGTCCCTTATGTACACAGTCGTAATTGATATCAATCGCAAATAAGTTTTTATTAATATCAACTCTTTATATTAAAGACGGGGACGAGGACTGGGAGAGCATTCGCATAGCCATCTGGATGAAGAGAACAGTATAGACCATGGAAAGAGATACATATCAAGACATACCAGTCAACAGCTGTTTGAACTTGATGATGTGGAGACCGCAAAAAACTGCATCACCTGGAGATTGTAAAACCAGCAGGTAACTTTGTCTGTCCATGTCTGCACCATAGACATCAAAGCTTCCACAGGTAAATACCTTTTTGATGTGCCATCCAACAGGCTCTTCCCAATGATCTCTGCAGTCTCTGCGCCTATCCAGAAGGCACTTTGTTGTGTCACTATCTAATATGCGGCATATCATTCAGGTGGATCAGCTTACAGAACTGTGCCTTACGGTGCAGAGCTGAGTAGAGGCATTTCCATGTAGGTTACTATAAAGTAGGCCCATAGTAGGTTATATTGTCAAATCTGGAATCTATAAGGCTTGTGAAGTGGTCCCGCCTCACCTTCCAGAAGTTCCACATTTGTTGTTTCTGTGCATATTGCTTCACATCCATTAAACTTGGTGTTGATTTGTTTACAAATCTTGCAAGCAGCAAAATGGGAAATATCTGGAGAAGCCAGGGAATAAATAACAGTTTAAAGTTAAAGATAGCATTGACATCTATATTTCTCATTGCTACACACTGAAGTGAGACATGGGCCATGACCAAAAGAGAGTAGATGCATTTGAAATGTGGGTGTATCTGCGAACACTGAGGGTTCCCTGGCCAGACAGAACAAACTGATGGGTACTGGACAAGCTGGATACAGAGATGTTGCTCAGAAAGAGTATTGCCAGAAGGAAACTGCAATTTTTTCTCCATGTGGTAAGGAGAGATGGTCTTGGAAAGTCCCTTGTAACAGTGGAAGCCAGGCAAAGAAGAGGCAGACCTGCGATTTCCTGTTTGAAAGAGATCCACATACATGTATGGACAGGGAAAAGCTGTCAGAGGCAACGAGAGCAAAATTAAGCTGACAGAGAGGGATGGCGTTACCTTGAGATGGCCACAGCAGTGCAGCTAGCGCCACCTGACTGAAGAAGAATATTTTGCCACTTACTGTATGCATCCATGCATGAGGAGTTGCCAAAATCATGTAGTCTTACAGTTGTAATCAAGTTGAGTATCACTATGAATATGGCTGACAAAGAAAGCGGAAAAAATATACAGTTCCTCAGGTAGACAAAGGAACATCCCTTCACTGCTATTATGTAAAAATGTGTAGAACAGGTGTCACATGTATATATTCACTTTTTACATAATAGCAGTGAAGGGATGTTCCTTTGTCTACCTGAAAAACTGTATATTTTGTCCGCCTTCTTTGTCGGTCATGTTCATAGTGAATGCATCTACAGGCATGTTGTAAGTTCCAATGCACATGGCCTACATGGCTGCTTCTGTTATTGTACAGTGCATGCAATTGACTTTCCTAATGGTCTTTGTACTCAAGAACTGTCTTTGTAGAGTCTTCTTATTCTTATGTTCATCTCCAAAGGGCTATGCAGTATGCAGCATGTCATGAAGATTCGTAGAAAGATTACCAGTATTGTATGTAGGCACACTAAACATCGGGCTCATACACTGCTCTTTGTGAGAAGTGTAGCGTTAATGTGCATAAGGTGACTCTCCTACACACAAGGACTCCAGTAATGTTCTAGTGCAAGGAACGGAATGTTTTAATCCCCCCCAACCCAACCCAACCCAAACCTGAACCTGCATCGAGAACAGAGGGGAGGGGCCCCCTTACAAGGTAAG